AAAAAAAAAGATTTATTTCTATTTACTTATGCATACAAGAACTGGGGTATAGACCAGAAGTGTGGGGGTTGAAAAGATCCACCAAAGACAGAGTAGGTAATCTATTGAAATATACTGCTGAGGGGAACAGCGGACCAGACAGGGGAGGTCTGCTGCACCATGTGGGTCAGCTCCCTGGCCAGGGATTGAACTCATGCAGCAGTAGCTGACAACAGCTTGATAATGCTGAGATTTTAATCTTAACACCTGCACCACCAGCATGGCCTAACATGCTAATTTTTAATTTATAAAGATCACATTTAAGGGCCCTCCCTGGTGACGCAGCAGGTTAAAGCACAGCACAAAGAAGCTTAAGCCACATCTGCATGAGTTCGATCCCCACCTGCCCTAGAGGTGACCACAAGGCGTGGCAGATCTCTCCTGACCCGCCCGCTGCTCCCCTCAGCAGTGTACTTCGTCAATTTGCCTGTTCTGCACCCCACTCTGTCTCTGGTGAATCCTCTTACCCTCCACATCTCTTGCCTGTACCCCAGTTCTGTACGAATAAATAAATAAATCTTTAAAAAAAAATCACATTTAACACATGATATATTTGAACAACTGTACATATCAATACATGTAGCCCTACCCTAATTTCAGCAGCTGTCAAGTTATTGAATATTATAATTTTTGAAATGTATTATCACCCTCTCCCTTATTGGCATCCATACCTTACTTCGTTTTCGGGAATATCTATGTAGCAGAAAATTTTAAATTGATCTATAATAATGTACACTTTTCTATAATCCACTCCCTTTTTGAAAGGCTAGAGATTACAAATATGCTGAGACTTTTATGATTATGTCTTATTATAGCAAAAAGGAGATTCTCATGGGTGGGTCTGATCAGGTGAACCTTTGAGAAGCAGAGTCTGTAACTGAGGTTATCATCTCCAATGTAAGATGCTATTGGTAACAAGTTAATAAGAGTATGTGGACCACTAACAAATTATAATCTACTAATCTGTAAGGGGATGTGTTAGTGGGGTGGATAAACTATGAGTCTCTGAAATCAAATAGAAGGGTTTGTTTTCTTTTTATCAACTGTAATTATTTTGGGGAATAAAACTTTAAATATTTTATAATTATTCCTTCTAGATAATACTTTGAAAAAACCTAAATAGGATAAAAAGTGAAATCCATGATCAATATGTCAATTACATAAACACTAAAGCTTTTTTTTTAAATTAGAATTATTGAGGGAACCAGGTAGTTTTAGAATCAGATGGTACCAAAGAGATTGTTTAGCCCCTCCTTTTTTTTTTTTTTAGATTTTATTTATTTATGCAAACAAGAACTGGGGTAGAAGCCAGAGTTGTGGGGGCCAGGGGACAGTGTGAGAGAATTCACAGAGTGGGGAGCAGAACAGGCAGACTGACTGAGGCACACTGCTGAGGAGAGCGTCAGGTGAGGCAGGAGCGGTCTGCCAGCCCTGTGGGTCAGCTCCCTGGCTGGGGTGGAGCTCGTGCTGTAGTGGCTGTGGACAGCTTCACAGTGCTGTGCGTTAACCTGCCACCACCAGGGAGGCCCCTATGCTCCTTATTTTAAAGAAAGTATGTTAACATTTTAGAAATAAAAAAACTAAAAAAAAATTTCACCATTTCCTTTCACTATATAGTATAAACTGATACAGTTTCCTATGGATATAGTATTCCTTGGAGTATAAGCTCCAAGGAATTAGAGGGTTATTTAGAATATTTATCTAAAGTCTAAAATTTTCTTATCTTCTGATCTAATAATCTTCTTTTAAGAGTAGAGTTTTCCTAAAGATACAAATCACATGCTTATTCACTCAACTAACTGATTCAACCAGTATTTCTCAACCATCTCTGTAAGTATTTAGACACTGTTCTGAGAAAATAAGTCAGCAAAACATGTCCTTGTCTTCATGGAGCTTAAATTCCAGTAGGCAAAAAAGTAAAAAGTAAATATATTAAAATACATATAAATTTCATAAGCAGAAAAACACTATAATTTCAGGTGATGATAGATACTATTAAAAACAGGAAACATATGAGAGCAAAATAAAGAGATTAATTTATAAAAAGCAACCAGAAGAAAATCTCTTAATTAAACATGAATGCACTACTTAAAAACACAGAGGGGAGGGAAAAAAAAAACCACAGGGGGAAAACCTAAATTATTTTCAAAATAAATGTCATAAAGGTGGAATCTTGGTTTTCACAAAGAAAACCAAGGGGGGCAAAAAAGAACAGGAAGCATTTGAGCTCCATGAGTTTTTTTTCTTTATGCTTGATTCACTCTGGGGTGGCCTGAAGGGTAAATAAAAGATTTCTGATGAGATGATTATACTTACATTCCTGTTTGAAGGTGAAATATTCTGTAAGATGCCTGCATTCATGATTTCCTCGAAGCAGAAACAATGTTTTGGGATGATTAATCTTTAAACTCCATAAAAATAGCACGCACTGAAAGATAAAATACAAGGACAACATTTTATTTGTGACCATAATAACAAATAAAGACAATTTAAATAAATTCAAATGACATGTCATAATGGCATATGTCAGTTTTTATTTTTGCATATGGTGTCAGGTTGTCTTAGAATTTGACACAGAGCAGCCTTCATAGAAATCTATCAATTTCCATTTCCATGTTCTAGTCAAATATATAAAAATCCTTAACAAGACCAAACACACACCTAAAACCTATACTTTATTGAAGAGAGAAACCAGGAATAAGCAAGAATACCTACTATTTCAGCTTCTATTCATCATCATACCAGAGATATTTGTCAAGGGAAATAAAAGTCAGAGGTGTAAGAACACTAAAAGGAAAAAACAAAACTGTATTTCCAGATAATATGACACTATACCTGGAGAAATTCAGAAAAATCAATAAAACTCAAATAATAATAAAATCAATAGTATGGAAGGATATAAAATTAACATACAAAATCACTCTGGAAAGATACAAAAGTAGACATGAACAAACAGAAAGTTATTCCCTGTTTTTGAAAAGGATGACTCAACAGTAAAAGATTGTAATTTTTCCAAATGTAATTTATACAATTACTGCAGTTCCAATAAAAATACTCAGGAAAGATCAATGCAAGCTCTAGGTATGAAAAATATCATCATGCCTTGACTCTAACATAGGCTCACAGAAAAAGAAATAAATATGGTGAAAAAATAAAGTGAAACAAGGTCCTAAGAAAACAATCTGGCAATATGGACCAAAAATCTTAAAAACAGGGCCTGTCTGGTGGCACAGGGGTTAGTCTCAGAACTATCAAGCTAGCTCCAGCCACTGCAACAGAAGTATGATCCCGGGCCAGGGAGATGACCCACATGGCGCAGCAGACCTCTCCTGTCTCGCCTGCTGCTCCCCTCAGCAGTGTATTTCAATCAAGCTGCCTATTATGCTCCCCACTCTATGTCTGGTGAATCCTCTCACATATACCCTCCCAGATCTCTGGCCTATACCCCAGTTCTTGTATGCATAAATAAAAATAAATCTCACACACAAAAAAAGAAGTCTTAGGCCCTCCCTGGTGGCGCAGCGGGTTAAAGCACTGAACTGAGAAGCTAAAGCCACTTCCCCATGAGTTCGATTCCCGCCTGCCCCGGAGGAGACCACATGGTGTGGCAGACCTCTCCTG